TGTTTGATATATGGGAAGCTTTCGACCTGCGGTCTGCTGGATGAACTACCTCAGTTTGGCTTTCCCTTGAAACTTGTGTCGTCAACATCAAGCTGTTTCCAGGACCGCAGCACCCCCGTTTGGTTATATGAGACCATGTCTCTTTCCGTGCTTGTGAATTTTGCTGAATAATCAATTACCTCTCACTTGGTGGATGCATCGCGGTGAAGTGTTTGCACGTATACAGATGGATCGGTTGGTGTTTGTCAACTCTGGCACCTCTGGCATCGCCTTGACATTCAATTATTGAAGGTTCGAGTGTATGCTGTATCAGTTTAACGGGTGATGTTGCATGATGCGGAGATTGGCCTGTTACGGGCACAAGGCAAAGATAACGAACCACTATCTATGCCACATTGCTGGATTCTGGCGGAACAACCGGAAAATCACTGGTTCTGACGTGCGGAGTTCTAGTCAATCGCGCTCACCCGATGACTCGATTTCCATAATTTACGATTGCTGGTCCATGTGTCTCACAAGTCACCAAATGGGTTTCCTCAATGTGCTATGTTTGCTGGGACAGATATTGGGTAGAAAAGATAATGTGATTAAAATAGTGCCTGCGATGCTCGTATAAAAACCTTAACCAGTGCTTTTGATTTCATGAATAGTTTTAGGGTTCCCGGTTGGGGACACTAAACGATATGGCGGTGTCGTGAATAGTAGCGCTTTTGAGTCGACTCAATATTTTCGCAGCTCTATTCTACGTGAATCTCTACTTTCGTATTGTTATCGCTTTCAGCTTTCTCCTTCATCCGTCTACTTTTTCATCCAAATAAGCAGCCAAAAGCGTCGCACGAAAGTGGTTTTATAAAGCAGAACTGAAACTCTTATACAAGGTCTCATTTGGTCTTACACAGAACCCCTTCTCCAGGCCTGGAGACCACACTATGCGTAACATAGAGACCAGGTCCAGTCAGAGGATTTGCCGCTGATGTCCTTTTGAGTTCAGGTTGTTTCGCCGTACTACTCGGCGTTTCTAATCGCCAATCCCCATTATCTCGGGGTCCCCATTCAGGGAGCCTAACGGGACCTATGTGACCCAGTGTCCTGGTCAGGGTTTTCATATATTCATGCCAGGTCTTAGTTTGACCGCTCTCGACCTTTCTCTATTCACTACCTACCTTGGCAAACATCGCTCACCGTGGCAATCTATTTGGTGATACGCGTAACACATGTCCCAACCAACGTAATCTATTGTGGTTGACTACTTGCCCGAGAAGTTAATTTCAATATTATGGTCGCTTTATACTGATAGCCGAAGTCGAGTCCGGGCTTACGGCACTTTTTCTCCCGAGTTCACCACGGAAAGTGTGTTCGTCAGGGTTGCCCTCTTTCTCCTTTTGACTTTGTTATAGATCTGATTATGGAAACAGCCCTATCCTCGTGCGAGGATAGTGGCATAGATGTAGGGCACTTTTTCACCCGAGTACACCACGGAAAGTGGTGTTCGACAGGGTTGCCCTCTCTCTCCTTTTCTATTTAACTTTGTTAGATCTGGAAAGTGGTGTTCGTCAGGGTTGCCCTCTTCCTCCTTTTCTATTTAACTTTGTTATAGATCTGATTATGGAAACAGCCCTATCCTCGTCAGAGGATGTGGCATCGAGTTACTTCCAGGTGACAGGCTGTCTGATCTGGAGTACGCAGACGACATTGTGCTACTAAGTGAAGATCCATGTAAGTTGCAAGCATTTCTGGATAAGTTGAATGCCAGTGTAGCCACATTCGGTATGCGTTTTGCACCTTCAAAGTGTCAAGTGTTACTACAAGACTGGGTTGGTCCAGCACCCAGGCTCACTCTAACTGGGGAAGAAATAGAGGAGGTGGATAAGTTTTGTTATCTGGGCAGCTACATCTCACCCGGTGGACGCATCACGGATGAAGTGTCAGCTCGCAT